GGACCTTTTCTTCATGTCTTGACTTTGGCTCTAATTCAGCCATGGGTATCTGTTGTTTTGATTGTTGCCTCAATCTCCAGAACATAATTTCCATCCACCTTTTCTAGGCACTCTATCTTGTCACAGATTTCCTTTTTGAAATTGTTCAACCCTTTTCTGATGCCCATCAGCATACCATATACTGGCAAGCAGCAGTGCCAAAATGTGTGTACCGGCCCGCTATTTGGTCTGATTGTGCTAACCAAAGCCCAGTCTAGTGTGCCAGGGGAGAACTCAATTCTTAATCTGTAATTAATCAGCTACATCTGCTGGCAAGTGTTATGGAAGAAAGGAGCTTTACAGAGAGGGACCCTTCGTTGGACTCCTAGGTGCTATGGAGCTTTAAAATACAGTTAAAGCAATAATTTCCTTAAGGGCTTAAATGCTCAGCAGCAGAGGTGCATCCCAGGAAGTTGATCACCATTTAATTAATCACATTGTAATTTGAGTATTTAGAGACGCTTATTTTGCAAACACAGGTTTATGAAGTAAATCCCATTGGCTGGCTGTTTTCAACAGAGGAAATATTTGAAATGCTGGAGCAAATATGCACAAATGCTCTGCTTCGGGTTATGAGAATGATGTTTTGCCCTACAGCAGCTATTCTATCTTAGTAGAGAAATGGATATGATTATATAGTAGGTTCTTGCCTATTTGTAACTCCTGTTGTTCCAGGACTGTAATTTATTAGGTCGAGTTGATCGTACTTGGGTTTCCCCACGGATCACACATGCATTGTGTGCCCTGGATTCACTGTAGTTTCTTGCTTTTTTAACATCAAATTTGGTTTAGACCTGTGTGCCTGGACACCAGTGCTGAGAGCACAGTAGATTTCAGAGTGCCTGGTTCTCTACCAGCGCCAGTAGAGTCAGTTAGGACTGAAGTTGGTTGTGCTACACAGATATGGAAAACGGGTAATCCCTGAAGATTCAGCCTATATCTTTCTTGCTGGCATTAGATACACTGAAACCCAGTGTGATTACATATGAATGGAATATTTATAGCTAAATGATATGCTTCTCTGGTTCTTTGCCTATAGAGATAAATTTACACAGAAACACAGAGCTTATTCTAGTTCGCATGAGATATTTTTCAAATAAGTTGGATTACTCAAATGTTTGTATATGTAAACAGAAAAGGGATAAATATTGATGACATACATTCACTGACTTTACAAAAACTATTAAACAAGTTGTTATAATGGGGTCACATGTAGCTCATCTCTTTCTAAGATAGAAACTGTGTCTTTTTTCATTTTCATATGCACTTTCCCTATTTTGCTGATTTTCATTTTCTACCTTTTATATTTCTTAGTTTCATCTCATAAACTTGTATGCTTCTGTGGTCATACATAAAAATCCCTGTCCCCAGACACCACAGTAGGATATAAATTAAATTTTCTGGTTGGTTTCACCATTCATTCCACCATTCATCTCCATGAAACAAGCATGTTGGTCTTTCATCATCATTACTTCTGCCATCTGGCTTTTTCTCTAGGAGCCTCAGTAGTAATCTAGGGGCCTGATGGAAATACCTGGGATCACCTGCCTATGTTAGCAAGAAACCAGAGACTTCTGATGCCCAGGGCCATATTGATGTTGAAAAAAACTTGCTTTCTGGGCCCATATGTGTTAGAGCAAAAGCATCAGCCTCTGTCTTTTTTTCCCCTGTACTGATAAAAAAGTTCATTTTAATGGCATTGGTTATGTTGATTTCAACGGTCTCATGACTTGAAATGTTTGGGTTTTGTTTTAAATGATGCTTTTCTTTTAAATACTTCTTATGTATTTTTGATCTGTATGTGTTCATGGAAGGCATGTGAAAAGGTGTTGCTGAACACCTTTTTGTCAGTAGGCTGAGCAATATGTAGATTTTTTTTAATTGGCTCTCAACAAGAACTGGTGTGATGAAAGATTAAGAAGGAAGAGGAAATACTGAGAAACACTGTGTAAGTGTGATATTGATGATATAGCTGAGTCTGTAAATTTATATCAACAAAATTTGCTTAATTTGGGGAAAACAGTGAAGTTGAAAGGACACAAGAATATCATAGAATCATAGAATGGTTTGGGTTGGGACCTTAAATATCATCTGGCTCCAACCCCCCTGCCCTGGGCAGGGACACCTTGCACTAGACCAGGTTGCTCAAAGCCTCATCCAGCCTGGCCTTGAAGACATCCAGGGATGGGGCATCCACAGCTTCTCTGGGCAACCTGTGCCAGTGCCTCACCACCCTCTCCGGGAAGAATTTTTTCCGTATATCTAATCAAAATCTAACCACTTTGAATTTAAACCTGTTAACCCTTGTCCTGTCACTACAGGCCCTTGTAAAAAGTCATCGCTGCCCCCCCTCCCCAGCTTTCTTGGTGCCCCTTCAGGCACTGGAAGGTGCTGTAAGGTCTCTCATTCTGGAGACTTCTCCAGCCTGAACAACCCCAGCTCTTTCAGCCTGTCCCAACAGGAGAGGTGCTCCAGGCCTCTGAGCATCTTCATGGCCTCCTTCATGGAAAAATTTCTTCACGGAAAGGGTTGTCAGGCATTGGAACAGGCTGCCCAGGGAAGTGGTGGAGTCACTATCCTTGCAAGTATTTAAAAGCCATATAGATGTGGGGCTTAGGGATGTGTTTTAGTGTTGGGCTTGGTAGTGTTAGGTTCAGAGCTGGACTCAATGATCTTAAAGGTCTTTTCCAACCTAAATGATTCTATGATTCTATATATATTTTTTCAGATAATACACATGACTGGAATTTTCCAAAGAAGAAATTAGGTAAAATATTAAGGAACAAAAAGTATTTTCGTTAGACTTTCAAGCACCTGCATGTGATTCATGTAAATTAAATTCTAGTGGTTCAAAGCTAGAACTTTCTATCTTTTAATGGTTGTCTGACAGTCTTAATAAGTACAACATCAGGATCTGCTTGTTGATATAAGCATTGTATTTTTGCTTGGAGCAGAACTTTTTTAGAGTTTTTAAACTTGCTATTCATGAAATGCAACCCTGATGTCCAGTAACTTGAAGGTTGATAAAGAATAAAACTGTATGAGAAAGACACCATTATTTGTGAAGTGAAAAACACAGTGAAGTGGGCTTTGATTTTTGTCAGTGAATTTTTCTACTTGTCTAACTTTATTGTTGCACCTGGTAAAAGACTGAGGTGATAAGCTGAGGGTCGTTGGTTGATCTCTTATCTCTAAATTTGACATGACTTTAAGCCTATCTCAGATGACACTCTGTTACCCAGCACCTGTAATTTAATTTGAGAGTTTGAGTGGTTTTTTTCTTCCCCAAAGGTTACATTTTGTATTCCACAGTGATTCAAAGGGATAGGTTGAAATGCTGCTATAACAATGCTCTCAACATTAAAGTAGTAGAATTACAGCCTGGAAGAGAAGCTGACACTCTTCAGCATTTAGTGCTGGGCTTAAGTATTTTTTTCCTAACACTTCCTAAAAATATTTGAGTTTAAAAACTCTTCCTGTAATTTCGAGTCTGACCGTGCTGCTTTTGTGATTGTCAAAACCCGTTCTGGTGCTTAATGCCAGCATAAGGAGCAAGTACAGTCTCTTGACAGCTGGATCCTGCCAGCCTGTTTCTCCGGAGTTAGTAGTGTGCTGTCACTGATATTAACCATTCTCTACTGTCTTCTAAAAAACAATGTCAGAAGTCCTTTAGATCCCTTCTAGTTCTATCATAGTAATTTTTAGGAGTTTTCATACAGGGGGACAATTAATTTGTGAGCATTCGCCTATGATTTGTGAAGCCCTCACATAATAAAAAATTATAGATATGCAATAAGGGAGAAGAAATTCACAGAATCTCTGTTGCCTTATTCAGGTATGTCCAGAGATAAGCACTCTAAGTGTTCTTTTTAAGATGGTGTTTCTAAAAACCTGTAGGAGATGCCTCTGTCTGAAGTGTGTTTAATTTACCAAATGTCTTCTGGTCTGTTCAGAGTTAAGTGTTTTGAGAATTTCAGTAATTCCAAACATGTTTTTTCTTCTTCCTTGCTGTAATTAACTGTTAGCCTTTTGCTCTGTATCATATATAAAGACTAAAATCACTACTGCTCTTCAATGACTTTTTCCTGGAATAGCAATTTTCAGTGGCTTGGCAATGTCAAATAGAATTTCATAGCTTAAAGTGAGTGATTTATGAAGAGCTCTGTGTATTTTGGTTTGCCTTTCTTTGGCGAACCATAAATATCACAGATACATAGCAAATCAGGAAAGCATCTAGCAATGACTTTAATATGTTGTTAATGACATTCTAGTTAGATGGCTTAGCTAGATGTGCAGTTCAGTTTCCATCCTCTTTTGTAGACGAAGGCAGTGTGTAATATGTGAGTGAAAAGTCCTGCAGTCCTTGTAATTGGAATAACATGGTCTTCTGGACAAACAATCTTTCTGCATTGGGTGGCATGTGCCTGGCAGGTGGATGCAGAGTGTATTTTACCCTTCCTCTTTGCCAAGATGATGTGTCAGTTGGCGTTCTTTTGCTTCAAACTCAGTATATCTCAAGTGATGGCCTTATCTGAATGTGTCAAATAAACTTTGACTCTTTCTCCTGCGGTATTCTCTCTTCCCTTCCCCATTCTCCTCTCCCTTTACTGAGATTTGACTACCAAGGTTATATATATATATATGGCTTTTTGAGACAAAAGATCCATCTCAATTTAGAGACGTGACAATGTAAGGATATTCTGTGTTGCACTCTGATGTGCCTCAATCCTTTGGGTTATTTGATAATCTTGGACAGTATCACCTAAAGAAACATGCAACTACAGAGAAGCAATACATAACATTTCTGTAGTCCTTCACATTTTCAATGACACAGAAATATGAATCTGATGAAAAGACTGATCTACTTGGTATGCTAAACAAATGCTAATAGATACATTCCTTGTTGTTACGGAAGTAGAATAAGTACTGACTGAAGTTTATGTAATTTCTTTTTGCAACAGAATTCAGTAAGTATGACTTGTTTGCAGTGCTGATTTTGATGCATGCCAAATTTTAACTTTCTCTTCTAGAGCTATGCGAGTTTTGCAATCTCTGATTGATAATTGCAATTGATGTGAGGGGCAGTTTGATATGGCTGAGAAAGTTTGGTGATCAGTTATGATTTTGCTTTACCTAAAACTAAAAAGATAAAAGTAACCCGTGCTACCTCAATATTTGCTAATCTGCTTGTGTGGTGTTAATCTCATTTAGCAACCAGATCCTTAATTTAAACATTTAAATGATTGCAGTTGCCCTTAGTCATAAAACCGCTATCATCATAACTTGAGCTTCACAGGTATCCTATAGCAGATTTATTTGATAGTGTAAAAAGGCATAGAGGTTTATTCTGCACATTTTCAGGCTTCCTAAATAACTGAAGTGTTCTTGATGACTAGTAATGAAGAAAGGGAAGAAAAAAAACCCCAAAACAAACAAGGCAGAGGGGAGGGAACACCACATAGCTGAGAAGACCAGCAGCATATATCCACAATTACTCTTGGTTGCAGTTCTTTCTGCAGGTACACGTATGGAATTCTTATAGTATTAGTGACACTTTCAAACACTGGAAAAGAACAATGGATCTGCTGTTCCCTTTTTCTTTGAAGGGGGCATTTTAAGCTGGTGCTCAGAATGGGCACCTGGCCTCCAAACTGCACTCGTTAAAGCCGACGGAGATGAAGGGGTGAAGCACAGCTTTTGTGCTGCAGTCCTGCCCTGGTGATGTTAGCAGTAACACTGACTTGACCTGAGGGCAGGGGCTTTACCTGCGGTGTTTAGGGGCCTGCAGCAGCCATCGTTTTGGATGCTGGCATGTGTCCTTCTGGAAGCATGCTGCTGTAACATCACAGCTCTGCTTCTGCAGCAACCTGCCACATGGCTGGATGGAGTAGGTTGCCCTGGCTGCAGTCGCAGAGCAGCCTTCCTACTGCCCACCCTTCCTCCTGGGGTCTGCCCCAGTCCCTTCTGCAAAGGGTCACACGCGTGCTTGCTCATGTGGGTAGGCCCAGTTTGACACGCGTTAGCCTTTTAAAGGATTTTTAGTTGATAAAGTTATTTTCATTCCCATCATTTCAGGGGCAATTACATGAGCAGTTCGTTGGCACAGAGGAGGTGGGTTGACCTCTGGAGTCAATAGTCTCTTAACCCAGGCACTGCTGCAACCAAAATAGCAGCTTGAGCCTTGCTCTGTAGAGAAATAGGATACTTTATTGGCTGCTGAATGATCCCGGTTGGAAGAGAGTTAATGCTGCCTTTTAAATTTTATTCATCAGAACTGCGTCAACTTCTGTTTATTGCCCAACACCACAGGCCTCCCTATGACTTGTCCCAAGGAATTAGTGATACAGGGGCATCACAAGTACAAACCTACAGAGTTTTTGTCCCTCCCAATGGAGAAAGCCTCAGGGAAGGATTTGGTCTAAAATTTCCAAACTAATCTCATCCTTAATAAAATATTACTCAAACGATCACATCGCAGAGCTGGTAGGAGTAGTTAATGAAGCAGCTGGGTGACTTGCAGCTGCCGCAGTAACTTACTCCAGCTGAGTTCCAGGGTGTTTACACAACAGCAAATGCAAACGTGTCTTATCTGACAGGACAACAGCTTTGAGCAATTCATTATCAACTACTGTAATGAGAAGTTGCAGCAGATCTTCATTGAACTTACCCTCAAAGAAGAGCAGGAGGAATACATCCGAGAGGTAATACTCAATGGGTCTTTCCTTGTCCTCTCCTCTTCCCATTGTCCCTGTAATGAAGATACACAAGCGTGCATGCTGGAACCTCTTTTCAGGCAACAGAGTCACTTTTCGACCACAGCCCTGGCATGGAGCATGTTTGTGTAGGACTGTGTGGCAGTTAGGTCAAGTAAATTAAGCTGGGTTTGGGTTTGTTTCACATTATGAGTTCTCCAGGTATAAACCAGACCCAACTCTTGTTCATTGGCAACAATGACTGGCTCTGAGCAAGGACTAATTAACTTACTAGAAGACTAACATTGCTTTCTGGTATTAGTGCCATTACCCTACAGCCTGTGGATTACAGACAGACCTTTTGGATTACACACTAGAGTCTGGGATACACCCCAGGAGTGGCCACAGCTAATCCTGTTTCGAAAGGGAATCGGGTGGGTGAAACAATATCGTGCAAGAAGAAAGAAACTACAAATAGATTTTTAGTTCTAGTTTTCTTTCAGTTAAGCGTTAAAGGGGAATGTGTAAGCATTACAGGTAAATTTGAAGTTGTGCTTTGGAGCTTGATGTTTGATGTTATTCTGTAAGGACACATCAAGTTAAAAGTTTTAATAGGTTTTAGCAGTACTCCCCATGATGTACAGACCTCAGGCAAAATACCAGTTTACAGCTGTAGAAACTGGCACACACTCTTCATGCTCAAACTGGAGATACATTTTGCTGGGTAAACATATTTTAAAATTGAGAATAATAATCCTGAGGATAATATGAATTTTGGGCATGTCTTTTTTAGTTTTTGCATTCAGTGGTGAAACTCTTGGAACATCATTACTGCAATTTGCTTCCTGAGCAACATTTCAAACTCTCAACTGTAAGATGTACTGCGGAATGCAAATTAGAGAATTAAATTAATGTTTTCTTTTTCCAGTCCTTTGCCCTATTAGTGTTGCCTCCTGATGCACTGGCATCTCATCCTGAAAATTTTATCGCTGATACTTGAAAAAATTAGGGTATTAGTGATATCTGAACAACAGCCAGACTCTGGATTTTTCAGATGGTGTCATCTAAATTTAGCTCTCTTTCTTCTTCCCATTAAATAACCACCAACAACTAAGAGCTTAGAAATGTTGATCTCAGATGCTTGCAGTGAAATAGGCTTATTTCCTTATAGCCAGTGGGAGTGTGGGCAGCGCGGTGCTGGGGCGGGTGACTGGCGGGGCGCCAGGGGAGTGCATGGGAAGCTGACACGGGTGGGGAAAGGAATGGAGAGCGGGTTTGGCAGCCCCTCAAGGACAGTCATTTTGTGCAGATAATGTTAGTAGTAGATGAGAGCATTTCTTTCGTAATAAATAAAATGTTGGTAAGCATATAGAATTAAATTTGAAAGTAGTATCTTAGTTAACTAGAACATAATTCAAATTACGTGGAGAGAAAAGCTCCCCCGATTGTTTTCCTGTTCATACTTTTTTTTTTTCTTATAGGGGATTGAATGGACTCACATCGAGTATTTTAACAATGCTATAATCTGTGACCTAATAGAAAATGTAAGTTATATTCAAGAATTTCTCGAAATAATTTTTTAATATATGGATTCAGTGAAGCTGTAAAGTCTGTACACACCCTCACACACTTGGATTTTGTAAAACAAGCCACTCATAGTAGTCATCTTAGTTTGTACAGTAAACGCTTATTGTAATAAAAATCTTTTAATAAGGCTGTATATTACTTTGTTAGAAGTGTTCAGCAGTACCTACGCTAAAAATAACCAAAACACCAAACCAATCCTTAAATATTTACGTTTAGTGCTGTTTTCAATAGCAGATATCACATGCTGCATTGTAAATAACATTTCTTTTTATACGGAAAGTAGAAAACCCAATGACTTGTTACTGCGTGCTTAAGTACAGAAAGTACTTGTATCTAATAAGAGGACTTCCTATGGGTATAACACAGCAAGAAAGATAAAATTCCTTAACAATCAGAAAAGAACAGTTTTTAACCATTAACATAAACTGTGTGCTGGTTTTACCCATAAACTGGCTACTTTCCATTAAGTTGGAGTTTCTACATTATGAATAAATGACAAGAAATTCCAACATGAAGTTCAAGATTCAGATCTCAGAATCAGTCTTTCAAAAAAGCATATACTAAAAATCTGTTGGAAATGGGGTTGAGCAAAAGAGCCAGACTTTGGGATGGCTTGAAGGACGTTTTTTTGGGTAAGAAGTCAAACAGGAGAGCGGTCTCCTTTTTACGCCTTGATGGAAGTGCAATGGGAACAAACACTCAAGCTCTTGTCTTGAAACTTCAGAACCAAACTGGAATCCTGGCCATGCTAGACGAAGAATGCCTGAGACCAGGAACTGTTACCGATGAAACCTTTTTAGAAAAACTGAACCAAGTCTGTGCCACTCACCAGCATTTTGAGAGCAGGATGAGCAAATGCTCCCGGTTCCTCAACGACACCTCCTTGCCTCACAGCTGCTTCAGGATTCAGCATTACGCTGGCAAGGTACGTGGTGAAGCGGGGAGTAGGTGGTGTTTGGTGGGTGTTGTACCTGTGTGAAGCCTAGGCTTGGTACAACGGGAGGCTCTTTGTCCACGAATTGTTGTTACACTAATGGGGGAGAATTGCTTGAGTCAGTAGTTGGTCAACAAATCCAGACCTGTCTTAATCTTTTCTGTCTTAAGCCTAAGATTCGTGATTTGGACTGGAAGGTTTTCAGAGATCATGCTGCTCTATCTGAAATCGAGGGCAGTCCTCCTTTGTGCAAAGGAGAAAGGTGTCCCATGTGCTTTGGTGGTGAACTGCTTGTGCTGCTAGGTCTCTGGAAATAAAAAAGTTGTTTAGAATGAAAAAAAATTCACACACATCTCCAGGCAAGATATTTTGGAAAAGCATGTTCTCTGCCACTGAACTAGCTGAAGTCCTTAGTCACGTTGATGAGGAAGTGGAGATTTTGTACACTTGAAGGAACTGAGTTTGTTTTGACAGTCTGTGTGTTTAAACTGGTGGAAGAGAAAGCCATACAGAGGGCTTGCAAATTTATTTGCTTTGTACAACATAAGCAGCATGAATAGTTGGATAGTTTTTGGTACATAATTCAATATAACTTTTTATTAATGAAAATCAAAATAAGTAAAATTGTAAAAAGAAGACAAATTATTTTTTAAAATGTAGAAGTAAGCATAGGGTTGAAACTATAACTCTGGTTTGAATCTGCTGAACTGTTAGTTTCACAGAGTAATGAATATTTGGGAAGTGTTGAATTTTCCTAGGACTGTTTAATACTTCCCTAGTTTTTAATAGGGAATCAATCTTACAATTTTGAATACCTTGATAATTTCTCATTCAAAATAGTGCTGAAAATATCATACTGTCAACCTTTGAGGGAGCCATTAGCTAAGTTTATGTTATGTATTTACTAAGAATATATTGTATATAATCTATCAGGGGTTAATACTCAGATACTTCTTTGGTTTTCAAAATTCAGAGTAAATTGAAAATAATGCTTTGGAAAGGTCTGCAGACTGATTGTGTCTTAGCAGCCAGTGAGGGTCTTCAGTTGCTACTGGCATTCACTTACACAACAGAGCAGTCAGTGAATTCCTCCTATTTTGGGAGGAATGTGTTTTTCCATCCTCAGCTGAGAACATTTAGATCTAGTCACTGGACACAAAAGTTTGACTCTCCTTTTATGATATATAAGCAAAGTTCATACCAAAAGTTTTTCCAGCAGTAGCATTTACCACACCTGTGAGAAACAAGGACGTGTACTCCAAAGAAAAATGTCACCCCGGTTCACAGTCACTTGCTGTTGTGTAAGATGTGGCTATGCCAGTAATAGTTTTATTCCATATTTTGTTTACATATTACGTAGTTACACAGAACTGTGAAATCGTGAAGCTGGAGAGGCTGCATCACCAGCCAGATGACTTGTCACAATTAATCAAACTAAATTCCCTACCCTTAAAAAAGCCAGTAGCAATCTGAGATCTACAGGAAGTTCCCCTGGACGCCTCCTGGGTCTCCAGCTGCAGGTCAGAGCTTTGCATTCATGATTGTTGCCATTGGACTGTTTTCCTGGTAAAAATCCTTTCACATAACAGTCCCCTGAGGACTGCACAGATAGCTGCTTGCTGCTGTGATACCAAGAGGTGGTATTTCATGTCTTGTTCTAGTAGGCAAGTAACATCAGCATTGGTACTTTGAAGGGAAAGGGGTTTTTGCTGTTGTGATTCAAAAGAGAGGGAGAAAAACTTTGGTCTGCCTCAAAAAGATTGTTTTGGGGTATTGGCAAGCATTGGGGTATCAGAGTTATCACGGAAGAAGGGTTTATTCCATTTCAGAAACCAGAATTGATCAGCACAAGGAGCTGTTAGTAGTGTGAGAAAATGCCTCTTTCTCAGCAAACATGTTCACAGAAACTTTATCCAACAAAAAGCCTTCCAAACGTCAAATTTAAAATGGAATCTGAAATGTCTTTTATTTGTTTTGGATATTGAGAAAGGAGAAGAAATCAATTTTTGGTTCAGTTTTGAACTGACCTGTGTTTTGGTACAACACATGCTCTGATAAGTCTCTTCTGTATTGTTCAGGTTATGTACCAGGTGGAAGGATTTGTTGACAAAAACAATGATCTTCTGTACCGTGACCTCTCCCAGGCCATGTGGAAGGCTAGCCACTCTCTTATCAAAGCATTGTTCCCAGAAGGTAACCCCACTAAGATCAATCTAAAGAGACCGCCAACGGCAGGTTCACAGTTCAAGGCTTCAGTTGCTACCCTGATGAAAAATCTTCAGACAAAAAATCCAAACTACATCAGGTAAATTATCCTGTGGTAAAGCTTTGGTGAATTTATGTTTGGTGAAGTGACAGAAAACCCCACCCTCCTCTTTATATCCAAGGATAAACTATTGAAACCTGTGGTTTAAACTCCCAGTGATAGTTGTTGGCACATACAGTGCTGCAAACAAGTGTCCCTGTCTGTTTCCCTTCCCAGGTGCATCAAACCCAATGACAAAAAGGCTGCACACATTTTCAATGACGCCCTGGTGTGCCACCAGATCCGCTACCTCGGTCTTCTGGAGAACGTCCGGGTGAGAAGGGCTGGTTATGCGTTCAGGCAGGCGTACGAACCTTGCCTGGAAAGGTACAAAATGCTGTGTAAGCAGACATGGCCCCACTGGAGAGGGCCAGCCAGGTAGGAAAACATCAGTGTTCTTACCTGTCCTGGTCCAGTGACTGAAATGGCTATCTTCCACATGTTCTGATTTTTATTTATATTTCTTTTCAGTTTAATGAACTTTGAAGCAACTTTAAAACTCAGCTAGTGTGGCTCAAGTGTTTTACTTGTATGTTGTTCCTTAGCATCTCGTTCCAGATTTTGGATGAGTTCACTTACTGGGAAATCTATACTTTTCAGTAGGCTAAAAAATTACAGTTCCTTGGCAAAGGGGATGATTTTAGTGAGGAACTGACCTACTAATGGAAAAGATTTTGCATGTGAGCAAGACAAGCACGTTGCTTTTAGGAAATACTGGGCCTGAAAGTAATGGAAGGAGAGAGGTATTGAAGTGGAATCAAAATGACAAGGAGGTCTGGAGTGATCTGAGGGACACTTATCTTTAATAACCAAAGTGTAGGAACACCCATTTCTTTGAAGACAGTCATGCCCTGTCTTTCAGGAATCATCGTACATAATGATCGGTGAACAACCATAAGTTAATACTTCTTGCAAATAATTAATATTAAATATATAATTTTAAATTGCATAACATTCGCGTGTATTTTTACACATGATGTCTTGGCTAAGCAAAGGAGCTTCTCTTAATTCTTTTTTACACATTCCTACCAATGGCATAATTTAAATTTCTCTTATAACAGTTTCATATCTTAAGGTGCACTTTGCATCTTTAGGTTATGAAGATAATGGTGGGAGTGCAGTATTGATAGCAATAGCATTGTAACAGTCCTCACAAAGATCTGTGCAATTCCTCTCTTTTTTGCTGACATTTTATAAAAGGCATTTGGTAGAGTGTGGAACATGAGCATTTCTCAAACGTGTCAGTCCATGTTTCACATTTTGACCTTTGTGTGAGAACCCTTCCCTTTTTCTTTTTTCTTTTTTTTTCTTTTTTTTTAAGCAAAATCATTATAGATGTAAGAGGAAAAAATAAGCCATTGCTGATGATGTTAAATAAAAATGCTCTTTTTTTTTCATCAAATTATGCTGAATCTTTGCAGTGATTATTCTTGCCTTGAGCTAAATAACCAGTGAATAAATGAGCTAGGTTTTCAATCTTCTTATGTCAAGCACTATTTAAGAATTCATAGTGTGCTTTCATATACTTTCCATAAATTAATCTGTGAATATGTAAAATAAGAAGTGTTAGAGCTGGAGGTCATGTTTGTTAAGCTCATTTACTTCTTATTAGGGCTGGAGTAGAGGTACTGTTTAATCAACTGGAAATCCCTGAAGAAGAATTTTCATTCGGTAGATCAAAGATATTCATCCGCAACCCAAGAACGGTAAGGGGAAAATGTCTTCTCCTGCAAAATCAAGCCATCTTTCATGAGGGTAGCCTGTTAGCTGTAATTCACTACCTGGTTACTGCAGATTTTTCGAGATACAGGGCTTTGATATACTAGGGGGAATATAGCATTTGAAAAGGCACTTTTTAACATTAGCCTCATTAAATTGGTGTGAATCAAGACTCTGCAATAGCTGTCAGCCTGAATTTAATGTAACTTTTGTGAGCTGACTTGTGGCAGCATATCTGCCACAAACCCTCTTGATGTATCTGCCTACAGCTCCCAACATGAATAAACCAAAAGGTGTCTGAAAGGGGACTTGAGTAAAGGAGAGGGTTCTCTTACAATAGCTGTGCTTATGTTTGGCTTTTTTTGTCTTTTCTCCCCTACTGTTTTTCTTCCAATCTCAAACAAAATCCTAAAATACCCCACACCCAGCTCTTCAAACTAGAAGATCTGAGAAAGCAGCGGTTGGAGGACTTGGCTACTCTAATTGAGAAGATTTATAGAGGCTGGAAGTGCCGCACACGCTTCTTATTAATGAAGAAAAGCCAGATTGTGATTGCTTCCTGGTACAGGAGATATGCAGTAAGATAATATCCTTACTAAATGGGACGTTCTTCTTATGTTTAATATGTTTTTTCATATAACCTTGATATGATATTTCATATAATCCTCATGATTTTTTTCCTTGATATGTATGGAGAAGTGCTGGAAGAATTCAATTGTATGGTAGCATTTAAGTACCAAAGATGTGAATAAAAGAAGATTCCATTTTTAGAGACCACTGCTAAGCATTTACTTTGTGCTCGTGCTTAATCAGTTAAAAAGCTCACCAGAGTCCTTTAGCTCTGGGACAGCAGGATTTTCTGGCCCAACTGACAAGAGTCTACTTCATTCAGCTAAAATGCTGTGCCGCCTAGCTCTTAAGAGTGCTCTCAAAACTTATGGTTAATGTGTAAAAAATGTTCAGTAATACACATGTGCAACTCTGTGGAATTTGTTCATTCCTAAGTCTTTTTGTATTTTTGCCTTATTTGGAACCGTTGCATTTGTGGCTCAAGAACGCTGCCTGGGAGGATCCCAGGGATTTATTTTAATTATAGCTCGTAAGGCTTGAAGTTCAGTAGTTGTTATTCAGACAGTTATAAAACAGTTTCAAATCTGTTTGTAGGCTCAGTATTCTCTGACATGAACTGAACAGTACTGTTACATGACTCTTTCATGTCTTTTATTCAGTTAGTAAATAAAATTGACTTATATGATAAAAAATGATGTGTTCTTTTATGTTTTAAAAATTCTTAAACATCTCAGCTGTGTTTTGTTACTGTGTGCATATCAGAAAGCTTGATAACATGTATGATATGGAAAGAAAGCATCTGAAACTGCAAGTTGCAGAATTGACAATCACAGTTTTTCAGTTGACAAGCACTTCTGTTTATCATCCTGAAAGCCATTAGTGTTTGGTTCAGTTATCTTGGATAATTAGAGAGAAGTAAAGATTATTTGGAAAAAGTATGAATAAATGTTTTTTCACTGTAAAACCCCTGTTATTTCTGAACTGTGATTGAATGCACCATTTCTAGAAACAACATCATTACAGAAGTGGGTTGTGCCTGTATAGCTTCATTATGATCACGTACAATCTTCATGAATTAAGCAGGGAGTTAACACAGCTAGATTGGCACAAAGAAATGAAAACAAATATGTGACCAAGTTCACATAGTTGTTTATTTCTTAATTGTAGACCTTTATTGGTTCACTGGTGAAACATCTCAGCAATTGTCTTTGAATGCAGGATGAAGTCACAGCAAGACCTTCAGAATTACGTATGGGTGACGTGAGGTAGTTCCTTAGCCTCTTCATGCAGCTGTAGGGCACCGTTCTCCTAACCCAACATGACATGGTGGTTGGGAAGGTTTCATAAGGAATGTGTATCCCTTCTATGAACACAATTTTGGACTGCAGCTTGTGCTGGAGCCTTGGCTAAAGGGTCTGCAGATACTCCTGTCTGTTCCCTCACAAGGCATGGCAGACACCAGTCACCGCATGAATACGCCCTTGATGTGGCCTAGAGGGGACTCTCTCTAGCTCGTTCGGAGGCGTTCGCTGTAATTGAGAGGGCTGAGTGGGATGTCTGAAAGCCTTGTTGCAAAGCCTATCAACTCTTCTTCACTCAGTATTATGCTAACCACTAGTCTACTGGAAAACCAAGCTTTTTAGAAGGAAAATGCTCAGATGTCCAGGAAAACTATTGTTCAAACTGGCATACTTGGATAATATTCCACCATGCCATTCAGGAATCCATGGGGTTTTTTTCCTATTCCTAAATTATCATCAGCATTTGGTATTATGAAGGAACTGCAGGTAATAGGAACAGCACCAGTCTTATGAAAAGATGACAAAAAGCTTAGCCAACAACCTGAACATAGTGATCATTTGTATGCTCCTCTGTTGGGGGGAAAGACAAATAAAGCTGTGACTGTTGGTATTTAATCCGTGTCACTTTTGTGCTGCTGACAGTGAACTTACTTAGTGTTTCTGTAAACAGAGAGTGACATTGTCCATGCAGCATTGTTGATGTGCTTTGTTTCTCCTCGAGCTGACCACAGAATCTATGCTCTGATCTGCTTGTTGTAAAATTGTTCACCTTTCACATTTAGTGCTTGTATCCTTAACCATATTCTCAAATGTTAGTAATGAGGGCTTTATTATACAGTATTTTACAGATGCAGTATTCTGTTCTAAGCATCATATTTTTGTTTCCAATACAGCAACAGAAAAAGTATCAGAAGATAAAGAGTTCGGCTATCGTAGTACAGTCTTACATCAGAGGATGGAAGGTGAGTTTCTTGTTACTGCAGCTATGGCTGCACAGTGAGGTAAGAAGCAGGTTGGAAAACACACACCTTGCGTCCACTGAGCTGTGGCTAGGTCATAGCTGTTGTTTAACACTTGTGTTTGCCATAGAAGAGGTGAGTTTGGGATATCTGTTCGTAGCCTGTACTTCAATACCTGCAAGTGCTGCAAGTGGAAGACTGGGATCACATTAAACAGCTGGGTTATCCTTGGGGCATCTTCGGACAGAATGTGGGAAGAGGTGCCGTCTTTACACAGGCCCACTCTTTACATGGGCTTCAGGACTGGGGTGTGAATGAGTGAGTCCGGTGTTCAGAGCAGATCTAGGTACGTGCTAACCAGGCATTCCAGCAGTTCCAGAGTGGGATGGTGTGGGACTCTGCCACTGGACTTAGGAAACTGCAACATTGGACTGATTTGGAAGAAATAAGTTGAGGTTGGCAGTTGGTTTAGGTTTAACAGGATTCTAAAAGAAAGGGCAGACTTGAAAGCAGGTTTAAAACAGTTTGGGTCACCTGGACAGTATGCTATTTGGGTTAAGTCTTCAGTTTTCTGTGCTAAGCCGAGGGGGGGAAGTGTGCTGTATTCAACTTGTGTTGAACAAGTACTTTACTGCTGTTTGCTTGTCCTCTCCCCTGTTTGCTACAACTTTGTTTCTTCTCTGAGAGGTTTGTGCTTTGTGAAGGGATAATCCTGCAGCCATAGTAGAGCCTTAAGGAGTGATGCTGTAATAAAAGGTAAAAAGGAGGTAAACAGCTCACATGAAAGCAGCCACAGTACTTAAAGCAACTACTGCTGTCCCGTTCAGAAAAAATGTCCCTGGGCTCCTCTATTTTCTTATTAACCTTTCTCCACCCCACTAAATGTGGCTTTACCCTCTGTTTAGGGAAGAGAAAACTGCCTTTAATTCTGGAGTCAGTTCCCTTCCTGTCAGACAGGGAAGGAAGGGGCCGCAGTTACTAGCTGTAGGTGTAAACAGCCCGCTTCTGTCCAAAAGGTTTTGAAGTTTGCCGGCAATAAGCTAGCAGAATTTGATTTTACTATTTTTCTTGGGTTTTACTTTGTCCTTACTGTTTTGTTTAAATGAGTTAAAAATATTCCTTCAGTCTAACTATTGATATGCTGTCTTTTTCCATAAGCATGATTTGAAGAAAACTGAGTAAAAGCATCATCTCATCGTGAGCTGTGGTTTTTTGTTTGCCGTTGGAGAACACGCTCTTCGGCAGTAGCACTGCCATGGATAAAATCCTGGTGTCAGAGCAGCCTTAAATGTGACCTAAAGCCAGGCAATCTATTTGTGATTTATTCTTTATTGCTGTCTAAATGGATAAGACATATACTGTGCGGAGGGAAAAGTACTGTTGCCATTGTACAGACAGACATATAGATATCTCAGGTGGTGCCGCAAGTCTGGGAGAAAGCTAAACATTGAACTAAGATCCCCTGAACTGCCGGTCCCAAGCTCTCACTTGTGCACAGAATCCTCCCTGGGACAGCGGATGTGAGGCTGCGTAGCATTTATGAATTTAATTTGCTTGGGGGTTTGGAGGCGTTGTGTTTTGGTTTTGCCTAGACTTACAGATTGCAGTGCCTTGTCTTAAAATCATTAAGAGATTATAGTTATTTACTTGAATAAAATAATGTTTTCAATTGTCTACAGGCTCGGAAACTTCTTCGGGAACTTAAGCATCAGAAACGCTGCAATGAGGCTGCCACAGTAATTGCTGCGTATTGGCATGGTACCCAGGTAAGATAATAGCAACAAATTGTGCACTAAATTGTCTTGACATAGAATGAAGGCGGCCCTTCTGGATAAATTTATCTGGGAATATTTTCAGTGGATTAAACTACTGATTCTTACGTTGCTCTTTGCTGCTAACATGTTTTAGCTGGTGCAGTCTGGGAAGCTGGGACACGCTTTAATATTTGCTGTTTGTGGTGAATGGTTTCTTTCTTTCTTCCTTGCACCATTGGGAACTTGCAGTAACCTTTTCTTTCCTAAGCTTTTCTATATCCCATTTTCAAATGCATCACAGGCGCGAAGGGAACTGAGACGGCTGAAGGAGGAGGCTAGAAATAAACATGCTATTGCTGTTATTTGGGCTTACTGGCTTGGATATAAGGTACTTCATGCACATATCACATGCCCCCTTCATTACCCAACAGTATCAACATTTAATCAGTAGTAAATAGTGAGAATTAATGACTAATATCATTGACTTAAAAACAATAGAGCATGATCATTAATTCCTTCCATTTCCATTCATGCCACGTTTAAGAAGTCTGACATTCTCTATGTCAGTTTTTTGTAGAGTAGGAAATTCTTTGCATGGCAGCCAATTAGCGATTTGCACTAACAAGCTGTTAGACTTGATTAAAAATGACTAGACTACGGTATTCTCAAACGAGGAAATGCATTTAACTACATGTGAATATGCAAAGCATGGTTTGTGTGGGGAGAGAAGGTTGGGGGTTTTGGTGTGTTTTTATTCCCCCCTAACAAGTGCTTTCAGTGACACTGTGTTAGTGATCCAATTGAGATTGTCACCAGGCTGTATATTCTGCGCCCTGGCCAGTCCTCATTTACAAGTTCAAACCAATGCTATTACGTTTTATTGAATTTTAGTTTGAATTGGTTTAATTGATTATCTGGCTGTGATTTGAACCAATAAGAAAATTTCAGTAAGTACAAGTAAAGCACAGTTTTGTGACCTGGTCTTTTAGCAGAAAATGATGTTGGTTTGCAATTCTAAACTTAGCAGCCCTAGAAAAATCCCAGGAATTCCAGCATCAGCTGTTTGTTTTCAGAAGCAAAGTCCCACTGAAAGATTCTTGCTAATCCCCAGCCTGCAGTTGTGGGTTATGTGAACATCTGAAATGCTGTTTGCTAGAGGTCAGAAATGTATTGGTTTCAATTAATAAATTTGTAACTTAGTAGAAAAGCACATCCAGAAAATACATTATGTGTAAAACATCTTCCAGTTATTGTTTAGGTTGGAGGGGTGGGGGTGTTGTCTGAACACCTTGCCAACCCAATGGAGAAATGTGCTCAAATTACATCTGGAGTATAATGCTGAGTTTGACCTTTGCTATTTTGATATAAATCCGTTAGATTTCTAATGAAATGGCAGCCCTGGGAATCCAAACAAACACGTACAGAATTTCCCTCATCCTAGAGAGACTGCAGCTTTTCAGCTCTAGCTTGGTATTTAGGTAGCGCTGTAATTTGACAGGCGCACTGCTTCCTCGACTTTTGTTTAAATGCAATACGTTGATAATTTTTAACCAGATATTTTTAACCAGAGTTCCTTTCACCCCAAAAAATGCTCAGTACTGAAAAAATTATATTTACATTCCTAGGTTTAAAATGTTCTTTAGATTTAAAGAGGAAAAGCAGTGCAATAGTGTTAATTGGGTTAGAGCTGCTCATTTAAATATTTAGTAGATTTGGATAATTTTAAACATATTTTAGTAGCTATTTTTATCAATTGGCTCACAGGAATTTAATGAAAAATTTCCTCCTTATTCCTTAAATATAAATAATCTAAATATAGTATTATATATCACTCCAAAGATACTAATCTAAATTCAGTTAAGATTAGGAAAAGAATTACCGTATCTGATAAAAGATAAAACTTGTTATTGGTGTGATGTTTTATCTTTTCCCAGGGGAATATTTAAAACAAAAGTTTCTGAAAGTTATCTTCAGAGATCACTCTTTTTACCAAAAAAAAAAAAAAAAAGGCGATAAACTTAAAGTATTCTGCTTCCTTCCTTTCCGCAAGGCAGACAAACACTTAGCTTTGCAGTGTCCTGGGTTTTACAGTGCTTTATGGTATGAGCCTTTGTTCCAAGCAGATGAGTGAAAACATATTCTTCACGAGGAGCTACATCTAATGCAAATTAACCTTTCTAACTGCATCAAGAAAGTGTAACTGGCACAGGCTGGAACTGCTGTTACACAAGTCTGTTTGACAACGTACCACTTGACAAGTGCAGATTGCTGATCCTGTAATAGTAGAACTCCATGTTTCACTTGACTTTTGTCATCAGGTAACTGAGGAACAAATGTACTGCTACCTCCAAAAATGTGAGATTCTGTTAAGTTGCCCACACACGCCTTTGTGTTTAGAAGACTTTGCAAATTGCTTTCCTAAAATGGGAGTGATTGATGAAATGTAGGTAGGTGTCTATCTCTTTGTACGTGAAGGAGGCACTAGGTTTTGGGAGTTTAGCCCTTCATTCCATAAAGACAGACATGATTTACCAGACTGGAGAATTTTGTTTAGAGTACGCAAAGATCAAAATAAAAAAATAACCTCCAGAAGAGAAACCCTCAATACAGTACCAGGAATTCACCGTTACATACAGTTTCAGAGCTGATTCTGTTGTACCCAGGCACTTGCCAGGGGAAGAAGTGACTAGATAGAGAGATTTTAGTAAGTCTTGATTTTCATACACATCATTTTGATCATGCAACTGCAGGCAAAGTTCTCCATTAGATTCAAATTATGAGATACTGCTGATTGCGAGGTGTGCGCAGAGGAGAAGATGGAAACACTGATAGCAAATAACGGGGCTGACAAAAATTCTTATCAGTAGATGCCACTTAAGCAGCAGTAGAGACTTTTTTGACCTCCTACATGGCTTCACACCAATTCACACTGATGCGCTGGGTTTTAAAGGTTAAACGCTGTTCTTCCATCTTTCTATACCTTGATTGTAAGTTGTCTGTTCTGTTTGGGAGAAGCCTTTTCCTGGTCGTTGTGCTGTTGGCATCGGGCTGTCTCTTTTGTTCACTATCTAAACCTTTTAGGCTCGAAGGGAATTGAAACGCTTGAAGGAGGAGGCTAGGCGTAAGCATGCTGTTGCAGTCATTTGGGCTTACTGGCTTGGACTGAAGGTACTTTCTCAAACACTCCCGTCTGTCAACATGAACTCAATAAAGTGTGGCATCTTACTAACACTTAATGAACAAGCAGTTGTGTGGGCTCACTACTAGGGATGTTTTTTTATGCTGGATTACATTGCTTAATGTTTTTTCATGGAGTTTCATCATCCATAAGCTGAAAATGTCTCATTAGACATCGTGTGGTTTTTGTCACATCAGGTTTTTCAGTTTTCAAGTGAAAGACACATGTCAGATTAAAGGGACCCTGTTATGGTCGTTGACTTAAAAACCTGACCTACGTTGGCAAAGATCCTCTCCAGAAAGATTACAAGCATGTATTTTCTTATTGTGACCTCTGCTTGTTTGAATGGGAAGTAGGGTGGAGCTGTTTGACTCTCACTGCTGCTCAGGTTAGACCCCTGACCCCGGTGTCGAGGGCATGGTGTAAGGTCCTGTCACTGCCATCAAGCCTTTTTAGGGCATGGCATTACATGCAGTAACCTATGGCTTCTGGCAGCCAGGAACGCCCCCAAAAATTGAGACGTACTAGAGTCTTTTGTTTTCTGTTCCTTGCTTTCAAGGACTGGCCGGCAAAAGAAAATGCATTTGTAATCTGGAAAAATGTAGTTCTGCTCTGTAAATAGACTATGAAAATGGCACCTTGAGGTGTTTCAGGTCTGTGCCCAAATGATTTACACAATACAGTTTTCCAGCCTAGTTTTACAGATGCAGTTCTGAAGAACTGTGGAAATCTCAATCAGTTCTGTTTGGCTGGGTGTCACTCCTGCTAATAGGAATATTGTTCCCTTTTATACTTCTGTAGTCTGCAATTTACTTGATAATGCAGAGTGAAGTGCTGCTGTCATATTCTCATGCTTATTCTAAGAATTATGAAAGGGGAAAAATAGTTACAAAACATATAATTATATATAATGTGTATATTATGTATATTTAAAAAAATCCTGTACAATGCACACATGGAAGCCAGAGCTGGAAATACAAAGGAGCCATTTTAAGAAGTCTTTCTGCAGATCAGAATCACACTTGAGGTACTACTGCCAAAGTGGGTCTGGTTTTATGGTTTTAAAGCAAGAGTATGTCCCTCCTGAGAACTTGGAGGCTGTTTTATATCAAACAGTGGCATTTAAATCAAAACTGACGAATCCAGAACCTTTAAGGCACATGGCAGCAGGAGTATGTTTCCGCCTGTCTGTGGTGTGGTTTTTCACTGTTTTTTAAACAGCGTACGCAGCGCTTCTGTCCCACCTGAGCCACGCAGGCCTTTCTGAGTATGAACATCGTCTGTAGTGCCGACACAACGCTGTTACCACAGGCAATTCTCATTCATCTGTTGGCAGAGTGGTTTTTTGGGTTGGTTTTTTTTTTTTAATTGTGTGATAAGCAGATGATAATAGTATTTGTGGCACTTTCCAGATTTAGGCTTTTCTGGAATGGCTTGCGTTTCTCAGTGCTTGCTTCGCAGCTTCCCTGCAGCGCCAATAGGATGTGTGGGTGTATAGTAGTCCCTTTGCTCCAAATCAGTCTGCACACCTTGCAGCTCACGAAGAATTACATAAAGCAGCATGATTAGAGAGTGTCTATGACAACACAGTGAGATTTGGGATGATTGTGTTTGGAGTGGTTTAGAGTGTGTTAATTTCCCTCCCTGAATAATAAGTAAAGGATGTACGCTAATTATAGAGTACTAAACCTTACAGAAAATCAGTGAATAAGAACTCTAATAATTTTTCTTTTAAAGTGAGGAGGAAGGAATTATGTGCCGTGTTTGCACAGAAAGAAGCCAGCTGAATGCTGTCAGTTTTGTTGATGCATCTTAATATGTAATTAAGGAAAACCCATTTCTCTGTGGGTTTTTTTTGAATCCCAGAACGGTGACAGATCCTTGCTTTCAAAATGCTGGCTTATCTTAAAACCCATGACACAGTATGGGGCAGAAGGTGTGCCAGGGCAAGCCAAGCCAACTTTTTCTTGTAAGTTGATGCGGGCTTTTCCTCTATGGGTTTCCCTTTATTTCCTGGTTACAGAGAACTCAGCAACATGTAGCGAGTTAGCTAAAACCACTAAATTTGCTCTGGGGTAAATTATACAAAGCCACGATGTTTTCCCTGGTTTTTTGCTCAAAACTTCTAACAGGTGTGTTGCAGGTTTTGCCAAAGTTTGGGAAAAAATTAGGGGATGTTTCAGCTAACTTGATGTGAGCCTGGGCTTCACGTAAAACTGCAACCCAGTTGTGCTGTCTCTCAGATTGGGTGTTCTGAGGGATACTGTCGATACTGTGCTAACTGATAGAAATACGGAAGGCAAAACAAGTACTCTGAAACTTACATTTACAAGCATGTATAAAAAATTAGTATCTCCTGCAAAAATGGTTCTCAATGATCACTTTTTAAATTTTTATATTATTTTTTCTAATAGATTTTGGAAGCAAATATCAAGCTTGCTGACATTAAGCAACCTTTGTGTTGATTCTCTGCTCTTATCAAGCACCAAAAACTTATTTTCCTTTTGGAATGAAGACTGCTTGTATGAAAAGAGGTTTTTTCATGCATAAGTCTGCTTGGGGTGGGGCGGGAGGAAATCCCTTTTGTCTTATGGAAAACTGTGTGTTAAAAATCTTAAAGGAGAAAAATCAGGAACAGTTCATCAGTTAACTATGTAATTAACGTCAGTTCAGTGTCACTTCAGACACAATCACATACGTATATTGATGACACCTCGCTTCTTCCAGTCCAACTTTATGCAAAAGCCTATGAAAATAGATGGATGCTGTGAATTCGACAGTATTTCAGTAGTGTGCCTTTTCGGAGGAAAGTATTTAAAATTCTCTGTTAAACTTGCAGGTGAACGTACTCGGGTCATTTGAGGTTACTTTCTGCCCTCTTGGTCCACGTTCTGGTTCATATAGTGTACCCAGTTACCGTTACTATTTCAGGGAACACTTTGCATGTTTGTATGCTTTTTTAATGTTTTCTGCCATAGAGATTTATAAAAAAATGTACCTGTGCAAACAAATTCATTCTTGGTATTCACTTTGAGGGTTTGTTTAACTTTTCAGGTCCGTAGAGAGTACAGGAAATTCTTCAGAGCCAATGCTGGAAGAAAAATTTATGAATTTACCCTTCAGAGACTTGTATGTATATATCCGTCCAAAGTACATGTACATTTTCTGTGCTTTAAATTCTTTTTTTCTAGCAAAAGTAACAGCTGTATTATGGCCTTGACAGTCTCTGTACGGAAATGTCCAAGCTAAGCATATGGAAAATGGACAACTTAAATATTCTTGATGTTGTAAAGAAAGGGTGGCGATAGTGTTTTGAAGGTGTGGGAATGGTATTAACTAAGCATTTGCCACACTTGTATGATATCTAAATCTGCATTTCTCAATATACCTGTCTTTTAAAATCCATATTCAGGTTTATAAAAGCTGAGAGTTGCAGTTTGGTAATTGTGCTTTTAATCACAGAGCATCTGCTTTTCCTTGCTTATTTCAATAACTCTGGGATTTGAACATTAATGAAACATCTTGCTCCAATTTTATCACAGATGCAAAAATACTTCCTGGAAATGAAGAATAAGATGCCTTCATTATCACCGATAGATAAAAACTGGCCAGCGAGACCCTACCTTTTCCTGGATTCCACTCACAAGGAGCTAAAGAGGATTTTCCATTTGTGGAGGGTAGGACAAATTCTAGTCCAGTCTGTACAGAACTTCGTCACATGATTGTCAGTAGTTTTATTTAGTTCAGGAAGAGCCTATTTTTAAGATGTATTTCTTCCTGTTCCAGACAGGATATTTCTTTGGAAGAAGCGTGTCTTTTGATCATTGTCTTTGGCCTGCAAGGAGTATAACTATCCTGCCTACCTCTTTTGGGGCTAGGGAGAGAGTTTGCTTCCTGCCATTGGCTTTTAACTTCATAGTAAGGCAGTATGTCTGCTGGCTGTTAGTTGGTAGCTTGTAATACTTGTGTCCATGGCCAGGACCGGGACTAGCTCTTAGACCAACATTGGAAGTATCAGGTGGAATTTTTTACTTATGAATTGTGGTTAGCTGAAATTTGTTTTGGATCTTTGGATGGCAAGAACAGCAAGGATCTGTATAAGTGCAGAGACATTTTACTGATCCCTGCGGGCTATGGTTTCTGCAAGTTGTCAGGGAACAGCTTTTCTTTCTGAAAGTCCATCCACTCAGCTGTGATTTGTTCTGTCTGTTTACGTAAACTTCTGCAATCGTAGAACCTATATATGTTTGTGAGCCTTTTCAACAGAGTCTTCCAGTGACTGGTATCTGAGAGGTTAAATTCATGTCCAAATGCGGCATGCTTAATGTTTCAGGGATCGGTTTTAGCGTCACACGGAAGTATCTGGAATGGCTGAGGAGAAAAACACCTCTGCTGTTTGTTGCTGTGCTACAGCGGCAGGCAGGATGGAGCTGAGTCACCTCGAAAGTATACAAAGAATGTGCATCTTGAGCAATAAGCAAACATTGGTCTGTGGTGCTGCCTCTTCAGATCAGATTTGGAAGGATAATTGTTTGGTTTTTTTAATGTATCGTGTTTTGTAGTGTAAAAAGTACAGAGACCAGTTCACGGATCAGCAGAAGCTTATATATGAAGAAAAACTGGAAGCAAGTGAACTCTTCAAGGACAAGAAGGCTTTATATCCAGCCAGGTAATGACTTACTCTGTTGCTTCGAGTGCATAATAAATTCAGTATCCTTATACAGATTTAGGAAACTAAGCAAGACTTTGCTTTTTATCTGAAGCAGGAAAGGGTTAGGGTTTTCTTTGTTTGACAACGTCCCTCCATCATTTTATTTTACACTCCTGGAAACTGACCCCAGCTTGCCTCTAATTTGGATGTTTTTGCGCCTCCAAATCCTGTGATCCTGCGCTCTTCTGCCCAGAAGCCATGACGTTTTGTTGTTCTAACCCCCGTGACCTGTTCACATCCTAATAGTTTGGAGAACTCCTAGGAGGGAATAACTCTCACCCTTTCCCCTAGTTTCCATCACGCTGGTTCCTGCAACCAAAAACGTTGAGTGAGCGGAAGGGCTGTAAGTGACACTGCCACTCCCAGAGGAGGCGTGCCAGGGAGTGCTCCTATGCTCAAACCTAGTGCATTCCACACAGTGCTCTAAGGTGAAGACTAGGTAATTTGGGTAAGGTACATCTGTGTGTATCTTTCTGAAAGAAGACTTATTAAAAAAATGTGCTTAGAAATTAATTTCCATTTTAGAGTTCTTTTTTTTAATGGAGACTTAAAAAAAAAAAAGGTGAAATCTCTGCAAATTAGTTTTTTTAGTTTCCCACATTATTGGGTTCTTAAAAACTGATAAATTCTTGTCATTGCTATCTGCAGAGCTGACATTACTCAAGAAAGCGCAGTAGTATCTGCTGTACTTAAGGGATACACATAATTTTTTCTTTTGCATGCAATAAAACTGACAAAATAACGATCTGTTGACCTTGAAAGAACTTGAATTGAACTTTTCAAGCCAATACGAGCTTAGAAATTGTGTTTTCCTTGAAAACGAAGGTCTCGCTGATCTCAGGAGAGTTTTGTTTCAGAAGCCATAGTTTGAGCTGAGCAGGACCGAGGCCCTGTAAAGCAAGGTTCAGTAGCAGGAGGAACAGGAATCTGCAGGAGTTGACGAGGGTAGTTCCATGCATGGACAAGCTCTGCTTGGTTGTTTCTGTGGTTTATTTCTTTTGTTTCATTTTTTATTAGACATTTTGTTTTTCCTGTAATGGGCTCTTCCTGCTTCAGTAGGTCACTTACCTAATGGCTGTATATTTTAGCTTATGGTTTGTCCTTGTCTTTTTATGCTGCTGGGAAAAGAGGAAGATGCTGCCTTTTGACCTTTCTAGGAGCAAGCAGGCTTTTTTGCTTTCAGCCAGTATACACCTGATCAGTCTAGAGCTCCTTGGGAAGGAAGGAATTGTGTTCATACCCCTGGTTTGGTACCTTTTACGCCAGGACTGAACAATGAAATATGATACAGCAAAATACATACCTGAGTTACTTCAAGACATGCTGAAGTGGTATATGTGATAGAGACTAACTGTTGATTCATTTCAGTTTTAGCTTGTAAGTTGTCATTGTTTGATTGGGGGCAAAGTCCACAGGGAATGTACAATTTCGGTGACTATGGTTTCATAATGCTAATTAATAAAAAAAACCCAAAAACTCCAACATGATGGAAAGTTTGAATGCCCTCGCCACCCCACACTCATTTAGAAAAGAGTTCCGACTCTTTGTTTTGTATGCAGAGCTGATTAGCTCTTGTTGGGTTTTTCATTGGCCTAAGGGTGGAGGAAATCACTGCGTAAAGTTTTTGATTAGTTAGTATGATAATGATTCAAAGGATGTGGCTAATTTTCTGTGTGTAATAGAATTATTTAAGAACAGAGAGGGACTTCTTGTGAGTGCTAAAATACCAGTACTCTTTCTTTTCTCTCTCATGTCCTTGTGTGCCTGACATGCAGTTACAAAGGTGTTGCTATTCCACATGATATATTGCTTCCTCTTGGGCTCTGGTCTTGGTAGAGCTTTGCATTTAGTACTTTGTAATTTAATCCAACTGATTAGTTAAAGGGAATTCCAAACAAAGCAAGCAGGAGCTGTATTCACCAGTTCCTAACAGACAGCAAAGCTGTTACCGTATAGCTCTCAGGTAGATAAAGATGGGGTGATTTGCAAGCACAACAAGCCTTGACGAAGAGCTGGTACACGTTTAACAAACAACAGCAGATCTTAACTGCAAGGTCTTGTCCGTCACTCTGAAATACTGTGGCAGAGCATGGGTGTCAGTCCTACCCGTTTTATTTCCAAGACTGTTACTGGGTGATTTTAAATCAAAATTGATTGCATATGCAAGGATGTACTTGTGTCTGATACCCATAGCAATTTGGCCTGTTTAATTGGAAAATGTTTCTAGAGCAAGGGGAAAAAAAAAATCCTATTACTGTCGTTGGTGACAAATTTCTTTATTCACCATCACTCTGTTGTTATGCCTACAAGATTCTGTGTCTAATACACACACTGTTCCTTACTCCTCCTCCTTTCTTTCCCTGGGATAATGTGTCAGGAGAGATATCCACGTGACTCTGTAGCAATTCCCAAGTTATTTTCATCTGATGTAGTGTGCCTGCACGGCACAGATGGATGCCAGCACCACCTCACTGAATGGATGGTGGTACCCACCTGAAGAGTCTCGGGACAGAGCTCGGGGGCTGCAGTTTCCACCTTCTCAGCAAGATTGAGGACACTTGCGTTGCATAAACCTGCTCAGAGCCCCGCTTGCTTTCAGTTATATATTGCTCTAATTATTCTGTTATACGATTGCAAATTGTTTTGTGTTGCTGTGGTTTAAAACAGGTAAAAATTGTGAGTAGGGGTTTCTGGGTTGATCAAGGTATTCTTTTGCTAGAAATGAGGTAGCAGATGACTTTCTCTGGCAGAGAGGTATCAGAGTTTAAGGAAGCTCCTGGCAGCGTAGAGCCATTGAAAATGGCATTTGGTGCATCTCCTGGCTCCACAAAGCCCGAAGCAGAACGTGACAGTTTCAGGAGGTTTACTTCTTCCCTGTGATTCCTATTTAACTCGTGTTTAACTCATGTTTCTCTTGTCTTCTTTTGGGCAGTGTTGGGCAGCCCTTCCAAGGGGCTTACTTGGAAATCAGCAAGAACCCCAAGTACAAAAAACTTAAAGATGCTGTGGACGAAAAGATCATTATTGCAGAAGTTGTAAATAAGATCAATAGAGCTAATGGGAAGGTAATAAAATGGCATTGCTTTATCCAGAAGGGTAGATCATTGGTGTTATAAACTCAGAGGGAGACTTCTTTCCTGTCATGTAATAGTCTGAGGATTTAAAAAAATGCCTTTTTTTTTAAGGGAAAGACTGGAAATACTGGTTTTATGTAAATTGGTGATTTTCAGCACCCATTTGGGTGCTTAAAATCTTATTTGGGTTTGTAGTTTTCAGTGATGTTTTCCAAATAAAACTGGCGTCTTATCAATGTATTGATTGACAACTAAATGTAGTCTCAGTACCAAACTTAGATCATCTATTTGCCAGTCAAAGGAAATAAATATTTAGAGGATATTGTTCCTGTTCAAGTGTTTAGAAAACTTAACCTTTCAAGGTTCACACTGTCATTCAAGCTCCAGATTATCACGTTTTATTATGTTCTAAAATTGTGAGTAGCATACTCTGCTAGTTTAGCCTGTCGTCTGATTGATACCGAAAGCTTTTTGGAATGAAGAGGCAAGTTTCTTGTATCTGAATCAAGCTGTTAAATATGCTGGGTACTTTTGGTTTTATTCTGCTAACACAGAACTTGTTTTGCATTTAAATGATACTCATTAATACAGGCAGTATTATCCTCCCTTAGTAAGTGTAATTGTTTTCAATATATCTGTCTAAGTATTAGAAGTAGTAGATCTCAGCTTCTCAGATGTACATGTCATTTATGCATTTTTAGTAGTGAAATTAGGTTGCCTGTTGTTGATGCCAAGTTACTTTTCTGGTTTAGAAGAAACTGATTAAATGAAGATTAAATGAATAAATTAAATTCCTGCACTTACATAGGCTACAGCTATGGTTTTATATGCTTGACAGCTACTTCTTAATTATAATATTTATGATTATATTATAGTATTATAGAATCATATAATGGTTTGGGTTGGAAGGGACCTTAAAGACCATCTAGTCCCACCCCCCCCGCCATGGGCAGGGACACCTTCCACTAGACCAGGTTGCTCAAAGCCTCATCCAGCCTGGCCTTGAAGACATCCAGGGATGGGGCATCCACAGCTTCTCTGGGCAACCTGTTCCAGTGCCTCACCACCCTCTCTGTGAAGAATTTCTTCCTGATATCTAATCTAAACCTCCCCACTTTCACCCAGTCCCCCCCAGCTTCCTTGTAGCTCCTTCAGGCCCTGGAAGGTGCTATAAGGTCTCCCCGGAGCCTTCTCTTCTCCAGGCTGAACAAGCCCAACTCTCTCAGCCTGTCCCCACAGCAGAGGGGCTCCAGCCCTCTGAGCATCTTCGTGGCCTCCTCTGGACTCGCTCCAACCGGTCTATATCCTTCTGATGTTGAGGACTCCACAGCTGGACGCAGTAAAATTTTAGAGGAGAAAAAGCTATACGTAGACTAAGTTCTCACTTCTCTTTCTCTTCTGATGTTGAGGAAAATGTAAGTTTTCTAAGAAAAATGTAAGAACACACACTCATGCTTTAAAAATATTTGGCATTTGAAAATATGAATGTGTATCCTTCTAAAGAAGAATTCCAATAGATAAAAAGAGGAGAACAAAACATTGACAATACCCCTGTGATTTGTGTTGATCTGCAACAGTTCTGTTGACTGACAGTAAACACTGAGGCTTAGTCCTGAACTAGCTGTCACTGAAAAGGTACATTGGTTTTCCTGGGGATGGACAGAGCATGAGAGATGAGGTTATCCTGATTTGCATAGTTTCTGAGTTTCAGTTTCTGAATTTTATATGTGTAAGCTAGTAATTAAAGGAACTGTTTATATCTAAGCATATGTGCCAAAATGAGCTAAGCTTCTCCATCTGTAATTAAGACACATAAATAAATTTGACCTGATTTTAACTGATCTGCAGCTTTTACTGAACATCAAATGTTCATGTTTACTAATTGGGCCAAGGTTATGAACTCTGTGAACTGCTTGTAGTGTTAGCAGGTGCTCTGCAAAGAGGAGTTCTCTCTTTGTGTAGATAATGCATTTTTGTATTTTCACAGGCCACGTCCAGGATTTTCTTATTAACCAAAAATAACGTTCTTCTTGCGGATCAAAAATCTGGGAATATCAAGTCAGAGGTTCCACTGGGAGACGTTACCAAAGTGTCCATGAGCTCCCAAAACGATGGCTTCTTTGCAGTGCACCTCAAAGAGGTTGGTTACAACTTTGTCATACAATACAGCTGTTTCACGTGCAGTGACGTAAGAGTTTTTCATTAATTATCTTGTAGCATTAAATCATGGTGGTTAGCCTGTAGGTTTAAAAGTTTATTGCACTATGTCATATCTGCAAAACCTTTGGTTTAAAGCTACTGAAGTCAAGTGAGAACACTTAGTAGATTATGAACGATCATTTGCTTGTGAAAATCAGACTCATATTTCACCATAGCCTCTTCAGGGTTGGAGTTTTCCATTTGCAGTATGGGCCTTTAATCTGGTTCGGATACCTTGTGGCAGCGTTTTCGTTTTTAGTTGCTCATATAATTCTTCCTGACACACTGGCAGAACATTTCTCTCTTTTCTTTATGGGATGCCAAGAAATCCACATTGTGTCAGTGTTCAGTGCTATATTTGCTTCGCTGCACTGTCAGCATTGGTCTGCTAAGATCATTAAGCTGGCGTTTGTATTCTAGCGTCAATGGATTTGAAGAACGTCCCATGTAGTGTCTTTCCATACTGATCCCCTTCACCCTAGTAGTGACGTTGGCAGTCGGTTTCTGTTCCTTTCTGAAAATACCGTGAGCTTGCTGCGGTGTAGAAGAGGAGGGACACAGAAACACTACAGTGTTGTAGGAAAAATGAAGGTGACCCTCCTTTAGGGTCAGGAGAGGGTTTTAACCTTCTCCAGCAGTTCGTTGTTTATTTGAGAGGGAATTGCATTTTGATCCTGTACACTGACTGCATCGCTGTTAAATTTACAAGAGAAAAGTTTCAGTGCGCCAGGAAGAGGGGACTCCTTGTAAAACCTCCTGCTTGGCTGGCATTTAGTATTTTTCATATTCTAGGTTTTGGTAGTCCTAACTACTTTCCTTCCTGTTTCAGGGTTCAGGAGCAGCTGGTAAAGGAGATTTCATGCTGAGCAGTGATCACCTTATTGAAATGGCCACTAAACTTTACCGCACTACTCTCAGTCAAACCAAACAGAAGCTCAACATTGAGATCTGTGATGAGTACGTTTCTTGTTTGCCTAGAAGTGCATTTCCTTCAATGTGACACGCTAAAAAGTCAAGTGTCACGTTTGTGTGTGTGTGTGTGAACTCCTAAAGCCTGCTGAGTGAGAGTCCCTCACTTACTCCACCACCGTTATGCACTCAGTTTGCCGTGTGGAGTGCCCCCTGATTTTAGCAGCATTGAAGTGGTAGTTTTACTCAATTTGAATAAAGAAGAGAATTTGGAACCCAGTAACAATAGTGAAATAAAATTGCTGTAGGCAAAAGTGGAACCTTTTATCTGGCTGCTCAGCACTGGTTGCATTCTAGTCATGGCGAGTACTGTTTGTTCAGATTTCAGGGTTTATTTAAAGGCTAATTTTGCTGTTTCCTTGAAAATGACATCTGCCATTTTCCTTTGCTTGGTTACCAGTCCGCTCAAGGGTGTGTGTTCTCAGCCTCTCAAAGAGTGTGGCTGTTCCCAGTAAGATTCTAGTTTAATGACAGCTACAGAGGAATAAACCACTAAAGCAAAGCTTAAGCATGCCTTGCACTAGCCTGGACTGCCTGCCTGCCTTAGATCTGGAAAAGTGTCTGCTCCCTGGGAGTCCTGCATTTTGGGATGTGGTTTTGTTTCTTGTCTTGCAGATTAAAAACATTAGAGTGTGCATTGCTTTTGAGTTTATCCAGACTAAATAATTCTAAGTAGTTTGCTTCTTTTTCAGCAGTCCCATCTCTGTTGATGGTGAAGCAGTACTGTCTTCTCCTGGCTAGAGTTTAGATACAAGCACAACTAGGAACTGAGGAGAAAATGTGGCCTTACTTTGTACTGTACACTGGTTTTTGGGAAGAGAGCTTATTTAAGTACAAATGCTGTTGATCCAGCAGTACGTCTAGTAAGAGACATCCCATTTCTGTGTATAATATTGAAACAGTGGGTCTAGGAAAATGCAGTGTTGGTGACGGGAGGTGAGGACTCTGAAACCTACTCACGTTTTCAGGATGCTTGCATGGCTGGGAGCGCTGAACAAGTTAATCTTTGCGCTTCTGGGCTGTTCAGCGGGACCGAAGGGCAGCTTGGCGCAGCAGAGGCCACTTCCTCCCCTGAGCTCTGCTGTCAGCTTGATTTGTGGTTTCCGGCTGGAGAGCAAATTCTTTGAAGTTTTTGGCCTCTGCTGGAGGACTTTTTAAGGATGCTAAAAGGGAAAATCTGCTGTATTACCGAGGACTTTTTAGGTCAGCAAGCGTGCGAGCTAAATGGCAGCGCAGCCCTGTTCATTGCTTTTAGTCCTGCTATCCCGACCAGTGAGAAGTTGGAGGCTCCACAGCAGCAGCCTGTTGGGTTTTTAAAGCAATTCTCCACAGTCAGAGAAATTTCTCTTCCGGTAAAAAGAGTCAAATCTAGATTAATTTATCCTGGACTGTAGGAAATACATCAATTGGAGATCGCTGGGAAGGAAGTGAATTTTCCCCATTGCTGAGCAGGGAGCTGTAAAGGCTAACTAAGGATTAGAAATATCAGAGCTGCTAAAATACCAGATATACTGACTTAAGCGTAAAACAGAAGAAAAGCTCTCCCAGTGTTACTATACAAGTATTTAGCTTCCTTCCTTGAAAACAGACAAGTCCCTCTGGACGACAGTCAAGCAGTTGGAAATAGTCCCGGCTGCATTTCTGGTGCATTAGAAGTATGTTTTTTTACAGCCTTCTTTCTAGGGGAATAGCAAACCAACTACCGTTAGAAGTCCAGAGTTACAGGCAAAAGGCAACAGTTCAGACATACTACCTGGAGGAGACCCAAGTCATACCATAACCTATGGCTTTGTTTTATTCCCCAACTTTGCTTATTAATATGGACCTGGGAATGACATCTTTTGGAGTGATGCTCAGAACCAACAGGAAAAGACTTCGGCTCCTCATGTGGTTTTTTCCACCTTTAACAAAAAACCTCTCTCATTCCCTCTCCTAGGTTTCTGGTCCAGTTCAGACAAGACAAAGTGTGTGTGAAGTTCATACAAGGCAGCCAGAAAAACGGCAACATCCCCACTTGCAAGCGAAAAAACAATCGGCTTCTTGAAGTGGCTGTCCCTTGAGTGCAGCTGGTGGCTCTCCCTTTCACGGACTTGTCTCTTTGTAATAGTGCAATTTTAGTTGTTTGGTTTTGCTGGTTTTATCCCTTTCTGGAGCTGTTGACAGCTGATAGCTTTAGAAACCCTTGGCAAAACATTTGCTCAATTGACTTTTTAATCTCATTGTTCATGCCAGCATTTTAACCCTCAAAATGCTGATTTTTATCCAGTCAGGCATTTTGCCCAGCTGGCACATACCTGTCACACACGAATCATTCTCTGTTTAGCGGTCGTATTTTAGCAGCATACCATAAACCCATATATTAGTGGTAAATTACTCATATTCCCTAGTTTAGAGATCCGCTTAACAGGAACTACACATGGCCTTGATGCTTGATGGCCACTTGTGCCCGGTGTCTTTTTATAGCAACCGGTCCCGGTGTTCTGGCGGGCTCCTTTCTTGCCTCCACTGGGGACACCGGCAGGACGGAGGCTGACTCACTAACGCCTGTAGTTAACACTAGCACCTGTGTAACTCAGTACCGCACAGGAACATCTAATTCTGCAAGACGGAAGGAATAGAGGATTATACGAGCAGCTATATGCATAATTTTATAGTGAGAAATGCAGAATTTTGGAAAGAGGATTTTTAATTAGGGCAGATGTTTTTAATGACTTTATACGGTAGAAATCAGTAAAATTAAAAAAGCTTGTTTCTGTCACAAAAGCTATACAGTTCAAGGCCTATTTTCTGTTCTGCTTTTTTTTTTTTCTTTTAAATTATCAGTTAATATTAGAGCCTGAAAAGGCAATAGCGTTCATAACACAAGTAAATGCTAGGTATTTAAGCAGGTAGTTGTCAAGCAGAAGGTTTGAGCCTTTCTTTTAGATATTGGCATGTACAATGTGCAATAAAACATACATGACATTTTGTGGAAAATTATTTATAATACATTTTTGTGTGCAAGAGAGAGGATTGGTGCAGACTGCATAGACAATGTAGGGGTTAAAATAGATTTGTGTTGTTAGTTTGCAGATTTTTAGGGTGTACACTACAGTTGTCAATTTGGGAAGAATACTTAGAATTTAAAAAAAAAAATCCTTAATTTGGGGGTCTGTATATAAATTGGTATTAGGGTAATAAAACTGTTCTAATTCTGTGCTGGTTGGTACTCCTATGTTATAACCGTATTTTTGTACTCCAGACTGTTTTATATAACTTGTGTGCCTGATGTAAATGCGTGCACGGAAAACACAATCGAGAGCTGCATTGTAAACTCTCGGTGTAACTGGTTGCACTTAATCTTTTGTAAGCCAGAAGCATTAGCTGCAGGCCTTAAGAGGAGAAATGCATTTCTAGATCAAAGCAACTACTCAAGTGAAGGGTTTGTAGGATGTGACTGTTTGATTTGTTGGTGCAAGGAGAGCTGAGAAAGCATTGTATTTTTGCAGTCTGAACTAGGACAGGGTAAGAGCCTGGGTATCTGATGTGCAGTGCTGGAAGTCCGAGCATAAATAAAGGAAAGCTAAAGACAAGTTCAGAGTCTCGTTACTCTCCCGGTGGTAAAGTTACGTAGCGCTCACGGCTATGAAGGCTCCTCTGGGTAGTTCAGCATGACCGCTGGCGATAAAACGGCACTTACTGCGGGAGATGTGCTAGCGCTGACCCTTACCGGCCACAAACCAACAGCAGGTTTGGGTTCTACCACCTTTGGGGTTAAAGTACGTGGTTCTGCCATGATTTGGATACAAAGCAATTGTTTCAGCTGGGTGCTTTCATGTCGCTGTTAGAAGTCCATGTGCATGGCCTTGAAAGGGAGGAGTAATCAAAAGCTGTCTTTCCCGAATGATGACAAAAAGTTGCCTCTTCCTTACAATCTTAGTTTGAATCCTTCTTCTAACAGTCGAGTCAGGTTAATAGTTTAATGAAATCTAAATGATTTTACAAGGATTGTAATTAGAGATGCTTACGAAGGAAATCTTAGTATCGATTTGCAATGCAAAATTAGGATGCTTCGAAGGAATTATCCCGTTGCCTTAAGAAGACAGTACATCATAGCGTGGCATTTAAACCTCCCAAATCCTGCATTAGAATTCCTGCTTGGTAAAGGTTGGAGGGTTTGTAAAACTGCTCACTCTCTTGAAAACCTTACGGTAAGAACCACAAGGAGCAAATTTTTTAAAGGGATACAAAAGTAAGGAAAACAAACATTTGAAGCCTGATGTAATCCTGTTGTTGCTTGCAGGTAGGAAATGGGAGGGTTTAGGTTAAGTCCACCTGGATATTTGGCCCATGAAATTAGGGCATTGCAGGATAACGTTAGGGTATTTGACCCACCCCAACCAGACCCAGCACACATCCCTTTTAGAACCATAGAATGGTTTGGGTCGGAGGGACCTTAAAGATGATCTAGTTCCACCCCCCCCACCCCCCCCTATTCTTTTTGATCTTTGCAGCAAGTCACGATGGCCATACCTGCAAAAGACTGGAAGAGGGACAAATTCCTCACTTGGATTTCTGTTGTTTCATTTCCTCCTCTGGGCCTTTACAATTTTTGCCTTGCCTATCAGCTGGTGCTTTGTGACAGTTACCTGAAGTGTTCCTCAGCGCGCAGAGCAAGTGTTGCTGACGGTGAATTATTTAGATGTGCTGGGAGAGTCGCGGCATCTTGGTGTTTAGATTTAAGTATCTAGGATGTTGAAAATAAAAATGCAAGGGCACCTGGTTTCTCTGTTTTCTTTCATAACCGTCTGGCAAACGGCGTTGTGAAGCGAAGGCTATTCCTCCCGTGGTGCTAACCTCACGCCCCCTTTCACTTGTACACTTTAGTTTGTCATCTGAGAGCTGGGCGAGGATCACTGTGAAAGATGAGATTTGTGGCATGATGCTTTCCAGAATCAAATAAAACTCTGTTCCTAGCCCTACGCTTCCTCTCTCTGCATCTTCCTTACTGCCGTCAGACCTAAGAAGAGCAGGCGACCGGGTTTTAGGTAAAACACTCAGAATGCTGGTGTGTGACTCGGAGAGGGGAGAGATGTTCATTTCGCATGTGAGCCCTCAAGAGGCGCCTGTCTTCCTCGGTGGCTAACCGTAACCTTTTTTGGTGCAGTTCTTCAGTGCCAGTCCTTTCCTTGACATAGTTTGCTCTGAAAATTCTGCAAACTCAACTTTCCTAACGATAGGATTTGGACTGATTCCCTAAAAACTGTATTAATAGCCAGATTAACCTGATTTTTTTTTTTTTTTTAATGGCTTTGAGCCCTAAACCTGTTGTATTCCACATGTTTTGTCTTGTGATCTTTTTCTCACTTTTCACCCTTAACAATTTTATCCTGATTTATATATATTTTTGTTCATGGTACAAATTCTGGAAGAAAGAGACTAAAATGTAAATTCAGAATAAGCTTCTTCAGTTTTAATCCAGCTTTGTTTTCACTGCCAAGATGAGGGCTTTTTTTCTATTCAGTTCTGGGGGAAAAAAAATAAGAATTCAAAATTTTGATATGAAATGAGATCATTTTCCCCTGTCGGTGTAAACGCCACGTGTAACTCTTAGGCTTTCAGATCCTTAATCTTGAAGAACAACATGTTTTCCATTTTCTGTAGGAAATGCTCATGGTTATTTTGGAAGATTGCACTGGTAGTGTGATGGCGATGGGCAGGAGGGAGATGCGTGTGTCCATGCTGCTTTGGACATTAGAATTTCCCAACAAACACGTGTTCCAAAGCCAGAGTGGGGAGTGTTTTATGGGGATGCTGCCAACTTGTGACAATACAGACAAGTGTGAATTGTAAAGGAATCGGTAGCATCACTAACAGACCAGCTCTGGCTTTCCTCCTGTCTAGCTTCCATCCTGTTGGAATGTTTTGTAGCTTACACAGACATAGGAGTCTGAGTGGGGGTCACATTTCTTTACCAATGTTTGTAAAACCCCTCAGAGTGATGAAAATTCTCTGGATACTGATTTTAATCACGTGGTTTAAAGCAATTACAGGTTACGTCCCTGTCCCGTGACCTTCCAGTTCGACGTAACTAGAGGTTGTTGGCACATAGCGCGATCGTGCAGCCATCCCAGCAGGGTACGTGCTCGTTTGAACGACAGGCCTCTCTGACATTGTGTGAAGCAGCCTCAGGAGCGCCAACGCGGGCAGTGGCAGCCTCCCTCCAAGAGAGCAGCACTCGCGTGTCGGTCCCAGTGACGCTGAGCCTCTCCATTTTACGACTAACCGGAGTGTTTCCTCCTGGAGATGTAAGTAAAGGGAGGTCTAGTGGGGGGGAAAAAAAGCCTTCGCTGCTGGAGTTTGTTTGCAGAAAGACCGTATGTGCGAGCAGTTGCTGCTTTAAGCGCACGCGATGGATACGCTGCACGGAAAAGGCACGTTCGTTTCTGCAGGGTAACACCGACGGCATTGGCAGCTCCGTATCCATCCTTCGGCACCTGTGACCAGAGCGTACAGAGGATGGAGGCGGGTGGTGAATTTACAGTTGCTGTTAATTCTTGTGAAAACATGTTTACATAAATTTGGGCAGATTTGGTTTGGCTAGTCTCAAAAAATTCCCTGGAATGCAAGAGGAAAAAGGTGCTCCTACGAATTGGTTGTTTTTAAGGAAATACACCAGTAATTCACGCCTGGCTGTGTTTGTCTACACCGAGCTAGGGCTATTTAAAGGGTTGGGGCTGAGAGGGGAGTGTCAAACCGAATGGCTTATCAGCTAGAACCAGTTCTGCTCCTGTTCCCTTGCGCACACAAATGAGTTGGGAATTCAGGCTTTAACTTAAAGTATAGGGTAAGTTTGAGGGCATTGTTGTTCACTTTGGTTATAATCAGTTGGTGAGGTCATGTCATAAATGGTTTTTAGAAACACATTCCCTCTCTCCTTCAACCTAAACTTTTAAGATGTTGACAGCTGATGGTGGACTGGCTAGGCAAAACTTTGGAGTATGAAGGACAACAGCCTTCTTCATGAATGAAAAGAAAATTCGAAGGATCTGAATCTCTCTTCTTGATAATTCAACTGATTTCCAAGGCTGCACCTTGCACTGAGTCCAAGGTAAGGCTCTCTTTGCTGTATAATGTTACACTATTTATGGTCTTTAATTATTAGAGAAAAAGATAAACACTAAATATTCCTCTGTCCAGGGATTATTCTTCCCTGGAAACATGGTGGAGCACTGAGAATCTGCCGGGAGCCCTGGACATTACAAATACTTTCCCCACCAGTGTTGTGATTCTGGGTGGTCTTGGAGACGCTGAGTGCCATTCCCCACCCTGGCTCTCATCACCTTCTGATTGTCTCCTGCCCCCGCTCCCTTCTGCCTCTGACATCTCCGCAGGGATAAAGCGAGGTGTATGTCCCCAGGGTGGAGCAGCAGTGGGTTCCGTTATCTCCCACTGCATCTTGGCACCTCTGTTTCAGCCAAACATCCACGAAATGTTTTATTTCCCAACTAACCAAGAGCTGTTTTG